GGTATGCTGGAGTTTTCCTTTTGAAAAAAGTCTTTTGATTTATGATGCTGAATTCAATTGTTCTTCGCTTTCGGCACTGATTGCGACCCTGGTGTCACCATCAAAGAATTTACATAGTTTCATTTGTCTTTTTTGGTGTAAAAAAGTTAGTTTCTAGAAACAGGAGAGCTAGAACAAAATGTAAGCAACACAAACAACTAGATGTTGAATGGCTCATTAACTAGAGTGGCAATTCGCTATCGCAACAAATTTGTGGTGGGAGCGATGGGGCATGCGCAGGGCAATTTTAGTGCAATCTGTGAAAAAGCGTTGCGATCATGTGCTAACCGTGTCAAACAGGCGCCATTAGTCACCCCTGATTCATCCTCTATCCTTCCAGCTGAAGCACAAACGATTGTTGAAGTACGAGAAGGAATATTTAGAAATGAAGGAACGAGAGCGTGAGAATGAAGATCCTCTTGTGAAACTGCAGGTATTAGCTGATTTTTGTTTAGCATGTTATCTCTCCTGTTGAGTCTGTACTCATTTGCTATGAGAGAAATTGCGTTTTTTCAGAAGGAAAATGCTCGGTATTGTGAGACGATTCTTCGACTTGAACGCGAAAATGATGACCTCGCACATGAGCTTGTTACTAGCAAGATTGAATTGCGACGAAAACTCGACACTGTTGAGGTATTTCTACCACTTTGGCATGCTGTATATTTCCCGTAACGTTCTTCTTTGTTTTCTTTTTACGTCTATTCTTTCTTTTTAGATTTCATATTGTAGTTGACTTCCGGCTTGCCAACTGTACATATTTTTTTCTTTTTCCACTTGGAGCATCATTTGTGTCTTTTTTGTTTTGCAATATGAATTCTTTTCCATGCATTCCCAGTTCTGCGCTGAACATACTTTTTATTTGAGGATCAGCTTGAAACATCAGCAAACACTATCGAACGTGTGACAAGACAGAATGAGGATCTCGCAGAGGAAAATCGCAATCTGCAACGAGAGTACAATCAAGTAAGTTGTTATAGTATAGTTCTCTCATACGGAACTACCAAGACATACATGAAGGATTTATGGCGCTTTTCGACTTTTTCAGTGATTTTTATTTAGTTTTATATTCAAGCGGCACGATTTTTTTCAGATAAAAGAGATGTATCGTAGAGAGGTGTCGCGATTGGAAGAAGATGCGAATCGAGCGAGTAAATTACTGGCTGAGTATAAACAATTGTTCTCACAGATGAGTCGGAGGTAAGTGATGACGTTTTTATTCCATTATGTGGGAGGTGTATTTACTCTCTGCAGATGCGACGCTGAGCGCGAGCAATTCCAAACTCAGAAACGTGCCATAATTGTGAGTTTTGCTTTTGTGTATCATTGCTTCACTATTTGGCATACTTTTGAGTGAACGTCTAAAAAA